TTATTAACCTATAAGAAGTTAGGATGCTTGCTCCAACTTGGATCATAGGTGTTGGAGTAAGGACTATTCTACTGCCTCCGTGAGTTATGTGCACAATTGACCTCTTAAGTCTGATATCGTGCGTGGATGCTAATGAACAACTTGTAGTTCTATGATCTGCCCTGTAGCCCCTCAGATTGTGTTGGTTGGTGAATCATCCTCACATTTTGAGTGAAGTTGTCCAATTTCTTTATTAGTACTTCCATTTGAGTTGCCAATGATGTAACTTCTGAATACTTGCTATTTTTCTCGAAGTTTCCCTTTCTTTTGACCACATAGTTTGATTTTCTGCTATTTTCTCGAAGAGATCTAAGGTGTTGTCTAACGGAATATCCATGATTGATCCTCTTGCTAAAACGTTAATCATTTTACAATATTTAGGATACAGGCCTGAATAGAAGGTGTAGACCTTAGCATTTTTAAGAATGTCTAGATTTGAGCACTTTCTGAAGTAATCCTTGAATCTTCCCCATGCTTCTGGATAACCCTCGATGTCCTTTTGCTTGAATATAGTGGTCTCATTTCTGATCTGATGGACTCGAGAATGTGGGAAAAATTTCAAAGTGAATTTATAATACTATGTCATTCCATGAAACGATGCTCCCATGTAGTGAGATTAGTCATTCTCGTGAGCTTTCCTTTAAAGTATGAGGGAATAAGCGAATTCAAAAAGTATCAACTGACATGCCTTCATGATTAATCATCTCGCAAAGCATTAGGAAAGCTTTTATAGGTTTATGATGATTTTCAGTTGATTTTCCTAAGAACTTGACGTTCTGATGATTTTGAAACAAATTAATGACATCTAGTTGAATGCAGAAATTGGTCTGCCCAAAAGGTGGATGAATAATAGTCGGTTGCACAGAAGCAGGTATGTGATTTAAATAATCCCTAAGAACTTCTCTTGATGGATCTGGTTGTTCAATGCATCTAGTGGTAACTGAATTTGATTTTGATTTTCTGTCATGTTTCTTACTTCTCTATGTTCTTTTCTTCATTGTTTGAAGGTTCTTTCGATCTCGAATGGTAAAAGCTTGATTTCTTTAATATCTTGCATAAATTGCCAAAAAAATAATAATAGTAAACAAAAGGGATTGGAAGTGTAAATAATAGCCTAAAACGGAATAAAAGAAAATTCTGAAACTATATAAACTAATAAACTCAAATGAAATACTTTATTCCCTGGCCGCGGCAACAAAAACTTGGTCGTACGAAACCTGCAAGCATACGAGATCGTTGACAAGTAATAGATTTAGTGAGTTAAATGTGTCGTCGTACAATGAATAAATTCAATTCAAGTTTACTAGTTTTATATGAAATTCGAAATATGCAATACAAAAGAAAGTTTGATTTGATTTATCCTAAATTAATCTAAGTAAGTTGTAAAAGTTTGAATTTTATCAAATTATAAATGAATGCATCGGATTTCTATTCCTCCAATTAATATTTATTTCAATTCTTAATTTGTGATCTAGTTCTATTCATCAATTCTTGATAATCAATAAAGATATGATATAGAATTTTATTTTCCCAGATAAATTAATTCTATCATAATCATGACTCGAATTTATTCCTAGCCGGAATTAGAATGATTAGAATGCATCAAATTTTAGATTATTTATATGATTGAACACGTGATAAATGTCGTTCCTAACATCTATTACACAAACGTTAATTTTGTTGCGTTTTAAACTTATTGTGAGTCTCTCAATACTACAACAAGCAACTAATTATCTAATTGGTGGCCATTCGATTAAATAATGCAATTGTATACAAAATTAATCAAAAAACGCAAGAAATACTAAATTATTAGTCTTGAATTAGAAATAAATAACAAATAAGGTTCATCTTCATCAAATATAAAAACGGATATAGCCTAACACATTTTTAAATAAATTATAAAAAGAGTAATAGAAAAATATCATCTAGACCATGAAATTATTCAAAAGGTTTTGATCTTCAAGTCCAATGTTGAATTCTTCAAAATTTTGATGTAATTGACTTTCAATTCATTTCTATGTCTTGATTTCCTCTCTGGAGATATAGCAATTGGCCTCCTTTTCTTAACGAATTTGATGATATTATTGTGCATGAAGAGGCAATAGACCTTTTTTTCAATCTGTAGCACTCGTTTTGTATTTATAAGAGTTAGAAAATAAGTCAAAATTGTGTCCAATCTGAGTTTCAAAAGATTTTGAATCGCAAAAGAAAACTACTGATTCATCTGCGAAAATTGTCCGCGCGCTCCATTGAACCATATGGCTCTCGAGTCATGAAATTTGTTTCTCGCACTCACTAGTTTGAGTCGCGTCGTCTATGAGTAACTTTCGGTATTTTGGTTATAATTTTTTATCGTGAAATCCGATTGAAGTGATTCAAAGTGCGTTGAAAAAATAACTAAAAGAGCTACAATTCTTCTGGAAGTACAATTTCCCAATTTGAACATTTGCTATTCGAAAAATAGGTCTCAAGTTGAGGCTAAAAATCCGAAGATAACTTTTTCAGTTGGAAATTGATTTGTGAAAATACTTTAAATATATTTTACTCATTTGACTTTCCATTACATCCAATTGATTATATGTGATCTTCGATCATCATTTTATGGTTTGAATCAACTATTGGATATTTACTTTTTTGAATTTCTTTCGTTTTTGCCCGTTTTTCGTTACTTTCTTCCAATTTCATCAATTTGCATTGAGTTCAACCTAACAAATATAATGAACACATAATTAAGCTATAACTCATCCAAATCACTAACAAATACTCACATTTAATTTTCTAAACAACTGTACAAAATACAGTTATCATATTATTGCTATTTTTGTTTATTCCATATTCAAAGGAGTAAAAAAGCATATCCAAAGAATTAATGTATGTATAATGCAATGATTCGAGAATCTCAGCCACCTCCAATCCCATATATTCATTGCTTTCATTGCAAAATTATCGTAATTGACACGCATTAATGAATCCATAACTACATGAGAATCAGAAACGTAACATAAAATGTAATTATTAGTTTTAGAAATAATAAATTTCATTAATATAACACACTAGGTACTTTATATAACATAGATTGATTAATATCAATAAAGAATTAACATCACGTCATGGAATAGTAAACTCTCCATTAACAGTGTCAAATGAACTCTTTGTGATTGACCAATGAGAATGAAATTGTAAACAATTAATTAACGGCGTCAAATGAAATATGCTTAGTATTTCACAAAATTCAATAAAACATAAGTTTAGAAAATCAACAAAAATAATAATAAACCCTGCAAAAATTATGAATCAACCTTGGAAATTTTATTATCAATAAAGCATGTATATGTCAATTACAACAACCAAAATATTTCATGCATTGATTTAATTAATAAAAAAAACTATAATTCAATAATATCGATTATATGGAAAAAAAAATGTTACTTGTATTGGGTTCGGGGTGAGGAACCCATTCCTCGTCCTGGCTGCCCTGTCCTCGCCCTACAGACCCGATTAAACAGGATTTCTCATTGCAATTCGAGCCTAATTCTATGTTTCATTTCAATCCTTAATTGTGTACCAATCGAAGTGTACTATGGAATTTTAACCTCATGAGGAAATAATTGTTTTTATAAGTGTGTACATATGTTTTGCATCTAAAAAGTATCATTGGTATTGAAACATTAGTCTGGATAACATTAAAATAAATTGAAGTTATAACATTTTTTTTAGATGTTTACAAAAGTAACACATGTCAACCTTAGGGAATGGATTTAGGGGTTCGGTCCAGTTCCTATCCAATTTTAATTTTCTAGTGTAATTTTTATTTTTATTTTTTTACATATTTGTCCAACTTTTAATCCGATTCTAAATTCATTTTTATTTTTTTTAACATATTATTAGTCCGATTCTCAGGAAACGGTGGTTCTTTGTATCCTTCCGTAATGAAAATGTAGAGCGCATATAAGTCGGTTCGACACTGTTTAAATGGCAGGAATGGCTGATTTTCGAAGATTTCTTACGTAGAAGTGGTCGGGACTTATGATTAGAGGCCAAAGAAGAAAGTAAAAAAAGAAAACTTGAACAACGGTAGATTATGTGCTCCTCCGATCAGTCAAATGTTTATATATTCAAACCAAAGCTAGGGTTCCTTGTGCAGTGAACATGCTACACTGAGAAGTGCTTGGACCCAGATTTGATGCGGAGTGATTGTGAAAAACCAGTCCAAGTGTCCCACACTGCTGGAAATTTCTCGTTCGCTTCTTGTATACGTCTGGCCGTTTATTTCCTCTGATTTAAAGACGCCCACCAGGTGTTCGGTTTTTTGCTTGATATACTTTGGTTTCTCTCTTTTTATTTAAATCTCAGCTGTCTTTGCTGATGGTATATAGCTAATAAGAAATACTAGAAACTACAGATTAATTTGATACAAAGAAAAGAAAACGAAGAATTCAATAAAGAAGATAGAAACCTACATTCTGATGTATGAAAATCTGGTGCGAGGATCATATTTTCTTTCAGAATTTTACACAATGTCATTTCCCTTCAATTTTATGATTTAATATATGCCAATTCGCTGTTTAATTGCAAATATGAGTACCATGTTACTTGTTAACAAATTATAATAAAAATCTGAAACAAAGTTTGAGATGCAATAAACCAAGCATTTACACTCTAACCAAAATAAACATGCTTGTTCAGTGGTGAAATTATGTGGAATGAATCAGTCTCAGTCTTGCCAGATACCATGTCTAACATGTAGAATAGAGACAACACACGGATTCTACAAATGACAATATAATATTTATCTATAGCTACACGGTGGATGAAAGCTAGAGTCTAGCTTAATGTACCCCAAGAAATGCTTCAGTTTAGTAAATACCTCAAGTGTCTAAATTTGTTGCTGCATGTTTTGTTTTTCCATTTTTTTCCCCACTTTATGTTTAGGTGGTAAAGATGACATAGATAGTGTATAGTTACTGATTATTGGTCTCAATTTCATTGGCAAGTTCTCTTGTCAGCTTGTCAGCACGGTCGTCGTGTCCACCAGCAAAGGTGTAAACTCTGAATGCAAACTGAAAGGCCTTCCAGAGCATTTTAGCAGATCCTTTTTTCCTCCCTTCAGATTTGGATTCTTGATTTTCTTCTGCACTGGCATTTCTCTTCTCCTGAGTTAATATCCAATAAATGTTTTCAGTGTAGTTCAACAAGCTTTTTTCTACTGGTACCATAAAGTACTTTCACACTGTTGAATTATTTTGTCCAGACTAACCTTAAGTGCCAGCTCCATGCAACTTGAAGAAACATCTACCATCAATTCCTTGATTCGTATAAGGATGCCGAAATCGAAATTGATTTTGTGGCTCTTAAATTTCTTGGATTCTTCATCTTTAGTCCGCTCCAGTCCTTCCATTTCTATTTTGATCTGGATGTGATTGCTTTTGTTAGTAACACAACAAGTTTCTCCTTTAAAACTAAATTATCAATATAGCATCATTAGGTGGAAGTCTTACTTTATTAAAGTAACTCTCTGCCTTGTCTATGAGTTGACCAACAGGGGGGACTACTGGCCAGTTCTGTAAAGTATTGACAGTTGAGTCTAATTTGGAGTATAGTGCTGCTGCCATTCTCAATGCTTCCAACTTCTTTTGAGGAAAATCTTCAAATCTTGCTAGCACCTACAGCACGAGGATTTTTAGGACATGATCCCTGACATAGTATAATAGGAACAAGAATCACAAAGAATTTTGCACGACTAAACCTGTGTTTCATCAGTCAGCTTCTCAAGGTTAGATTCAATGTATTCGTGGAATTTTAAGAGCTCATGCATGTCAGATGTCTGGAATGAATTGATTGCAGCTTTCACCTCCTTAATTGACTCGGCATAATTCTTCACGTCCTCTTCAATTTGTTGGAAGTATGCTGACCTGTAAAATTAATGCCGATAATTTTTGGATGAAATAATTTCTTTTAATTACCAAAGTTACATGCGTACTAATGAATCGGCTATAAGATTACAAGGATTACCTTTTTGTCATCTCTGCCAATGCATCAGCCATTCCTTGCTTTCCTGAGGCGGAGGCACCAATCTTACCCTTTCTTCCTGATGATTTACCATCAAGACTTGATCCTTCTACTTTCCCCTTCAGAAGTCGATACAGATTACCCATCTGAGAGGATCTCCGCAATTTTGTGGTTGCTTTCTTGGGAAGGAGGTTTTTGGCGCCTGCAAGGCCCGGAGGTGGTGGCGGAGCAGCTCCAGTTAACGGCACAACTCCCTTCAATGTTGATATGGGTGGAGGTGGGGGTAGTGGTGCACCATTTTTTGATGCCATGGGCAGCAGTGGCGGTGGTGGTGCACCATTTTTTAATGACATAGGGGGTGGTGGTGGTGGGGGAAATGCCAGATTTTTAGACATAACAGGGAGTAGGGGCGGTGGGAGTGGAGTTGACATGTTTCCCAATATCACCTGTGGTGATGGTGTAAGGATTGCAGCCGTGTTTCTTGAAGTCATCGGTGGTGGTGGAGGAGGAGGAGGCGGAGGTGCTGACATGGCTTTGCTTTTTGACCTGATGGGTGATAGTGGCGGTGGCGGTGGAGGTGCTGGCAATACTTTGCTCTTTGATGTAATGGGTGATAATGGTGGTACGGGTGGTGGTGATGGAGCCATTGGTATTGCTACTTTTCTATCTGGGTATGTTGATTGTGTTGGAGGCAGTGGAGGTGGTTCTGGTATTTGATACATTACTGCATTTGGTGGTGACATGGGTGGTGATGTTGGAGAAGTTACTTCTGGCTCTGCATCATTTGATTGCAAGTTAGGGAGTGGTCCTGGTGATGGGGCCACTGGAATGGATTCCTTTTTATCTGGGGACATCAATTGTGATGGGGGCAGTGGAGGTGGTTCTGATAATTGATACATTACTGCATTTGGTGGTGACATGGGTGGTGATTTTAGAGAAGTTTCTAGTGGCTCTGCATCATTTGATTGCAAGTTAGAGGATGTTGGTGGCAAAACCATTTTAATATCTTCGTTTGTCCGAGTGTCAGGAGCAGCCACTAATTGAATACGTGGAGAGCCAAGCCCGTTTCTTCCTTTACTCCCTCTCACCCCCGTTGAATTAGTAACCAGAATCTTTGTAACATCATCTTTCATTTCACATTCTTGGTTAATGTCATCAATCTTTTCCATATCATCCAGCATCTCAAAATCTTGATTAACCTCATTGACGTCATCCTCTTTCCCTTCAGAATTACACTTTTCTTGTAACTCTAGCTGTTGCTTGTCTGTCCTTACCTGGATTGAGTATTTTAGATCTTGAGCTTCTGTGTGATGGAACATGTGCAACGATAAGCGCTTTAAGTCAATGGGGTTCAGTTTTTCAACTGCCTGAACTCTCAGTGGTAGGAGCCTAGGTGGAGAATAAGACATCTTCTCGCCCTTACTCGAGAATTTCCTCATTTCTGGAAGGATTGAAGTTGGGGTTGCAGGAGAGCTAGAAACGGAATTCTTGTTATCTGAATAAGATTCGGAGAAAGCCTTTCCAAATGCATTTGTTGGAGGACTGTAGCCTCTCATGTCTTCATCATCATCCATCATATCAAAGAGCCTTTCTCTTGCCAGCTTGATGATCTCTTCAAGCATTGCCAATGCTAACAAAGGAAGATTGTTTATTAACTTGAGATCAAGTATTAAAAACATTTTCTTGATGGTCTGAGAACAACAATCAACATACCAATTTGTTCCAGGCCAATTTGGTCTAATTTTATTGATGCATCATATTTGGCGTTGACCATCCATTCTCCGCTATTTTTCCACAGGTTTCCAAGTGATTTCAGAGCATCACAGAAGAATTTGAGACCCTGTTTTGATCATTTTAAAAGCGAAAAATTTTATATTGATGGTGCTGTAAACCTTTTATTGCATGTTCGGTTTCTATTTGTTGTGATCGATAGCTAACCTGATGTATTGAGGCTCCCTCAAGTTCTGACACCGTTATATTTGGCTTGACCATAGGATACAATTTCAATAGATCCTTCAGGGTCCATATCAGCAGCTGTCGAACAAGACGAGATGTTAAAACCCTTGCATTCATCAGTATTTTCAGTCGCAAGAGGAAGATTAAACTTGAAGGAGGAAGGATTGGAATACCTCATTCACTGAAGCAAAGCCAACACAAGGAGGCAGATCAAGCAAGTCTCTAAAGGTAGAAATCTTGTTCTTGAACTCCATGTTCATTAAAAAATTGCCTGCCACCTCGCATGATTTGCGAACTGGTGAACCGTTCATGGCCTTCATAATCTTTGATGCATTATTTGATTTATTTGCATGAGGTATTGCTTTTCCCTGTCAATGTTTAGCATAAGTTACCACAATTAAGATTCATGTTATTTTTTTCCTGTGTCGTTTATAACATACATCATCAAAAAGTTGTCCAAATATACAGTGAAAAAATTGTTCCTGACCACCCAGAATTCATTTCTTGCAACGAAAAGGTACACAAATCTTATATTCATGTTGATAAGAATGAATAATCACGTTGAACAAGGATTTATGATTTATGCCATAAGTTGGAAATGTTGTATACTTACCACGACCCTCCTCCTATACCCGAGTTTGGACTTTGATTGTTCTGAATTCTAATACACTAAACTAACTAATTACGGATATACATCGAATGCAAATTAAAAACGTTAATCAAATTCTGCTTAATTTTCCTATGCTCATAAGAAAATTGAAATATGCATGTACCAAAGTAATTATCAAATTTATAGGGACAACCATCTATGTATGTGCATGAAATTGTAGAGAAAACATGCACATATCGATAACAAAACCCCATTATTGCAGAATGAAACATGTTTCAATGAAAATAGAGACATACCTCAAATCCAGGAATCTTCCTACGGAAGAAGAAAGGAGCCACCCCACAGAAGGCCCCAGTAGCCATGGCCGAGGCCAAGATTTATAGAACCCTGAAGGAATTTTTATAAGGATCTTCCTTTGGTTTGACAACAATCCCAGAATTTGTTTATGCAAGAAACAAATAATAAAAATAATAATTATCCTATCTAAGAACATTCAAATTGAATCAAAATTGCTGCTGCATATATTAAAAAAAGAAGAAGAAAATGGATAACGTGCAGTCCAATTAATGCTCTGCTCTTCCAAAATCCTCTAGGGACAGACAACTTCTCTCCTTGTTCTCATTAGAGAGGGGGGAGAGAGAGAGAGAGAGAGAGAGAGAAGAGAGTCAAATTAAGTAAATATGAATTTTCTTGGTTTTATGGATACAAATCTGCGGATAAGCGTGTTTTAAGGTGGTATAGGATATTTTATGTGGGATTTTTTACAACAGATTTCTGCTAATCAATCCAATCCCAGGAATAATGGAGGATTTATGATTGGAGTTCATTTCTAGAGCTATGCAGTTGATTACGATCTCGATCTAACGCTTTTTTCTTGTTTAGTCAAGATATATTCGTCGATTTCTTTCATCAAACCATCGACGCTTATTATTCTAAAAATAAAATTTATAAAACTACAAATTTATAATTAATGCAACTGGGTGGGTCATAACTTTATTATATATGCTTAAAATTTTGAACATAAAGTTTTCTGGGAATTATAAAAAGGTGAAAAAGAGAGGAAAAAAAAAAAGTAAAAAAATGGCGGGTGATTTGAAATATTGGTGTTCTTTATAAAGTAGAAATACTAATGTATCAAAAGATAAAGATCGAATAAACTACGAGATTGAATGACCCAGCCTTTGTCTGGATTCTTCTAAGCCTAAGTTTGGGAAGAATTTATAAATAGATAAAAATGAGTTATGGATAAGTGGATAATACTTTTGAATTTATTGGAACGTGTGGTTGAGAATAAAGTTTGATCATTGATAAATGATTTATAGATTAACCAAACGGAGCCTAAGAAATTATCATATATATTTTAAGAAACTACAAATTGGATATTTCGATGCTTCCAATGTTTAAACCTCTTTAAATACTCTCCAAATACTGTAAGGATGTATTAATGTGTGATGACAGTGACGTCAAGATCAATAACTTAAAATCTAAATCTTAATTCTAGAACATGAGTTCGTTAAGGAAAAAATGACAACAAGGATACTATCCAAATTTTGGGAGCTAAATCCGCCATTTTGAAAGTTTGGATCGGAACTTGCATCGATTCAATTGTGGATAAAAAGAACTAAATTGTGAAACTCATATACAAATAAGAAAGGACTCGAGCGGAACCAAAAGAAAAATTTGAAGACCGAAATGAACAAGAGAATAATGATATGCCAAGATTGCATAGTATTGTCTCATAATAATCAAAGGGAAAATTAGGTCCAGTACTCTATTTTTTAGGTGTTTTTGATTAATACCCTTAA